CAGCAGGGTATTATGGAAGGCAAAAATTATTAAGTGCCACTTTTAAATAACAAAAAATGGCTTGCTGGCTCATCAGTATTGTCTGCATAGTAGGAACAAAACATTTATTCAAGGAAATTTTCCCTGTACCAAATTCTCCTTACACAGATTCAGCATTCATCCCACTGCATTAAATTTTGAATTGTAGTTATTGGTATTGTTCCCTTGTACTACAACTCAATCTCTTTTGGCTAAATCCCCTAGAATGACTACTCAGAGCTGTGTATTGCCCCAAAAGTTTAAGTGAAGATCTTTTATTTGTACCTAGAAGTCTTTATTGCTCTTTAAAAAAACCTCTGATCATTATGACACCCACACATGCAAGTTTCTGCAAAATCCATTCTAAATACAAACTTTAAACTTACTAAGCAAATACAGAAAATGATCATCCACACTAATGGTACACATTTTGTGTGTAAATTGTAAATACCTGACAGCATGGACTGGATTATAAGTAAAATGCTGAATCATAATTTGAGCCAAATTTTTGCTATTCATATTAGTTCAGTGACCTTCTAGGAAGAGTTCAAATCAATTAAGAGAAGAGGGAATACAAATTTCTCTTTGCTACAACAAAAAAGGCAAGAACTCGGGTTTTCTAGGTCTTATACTACAGCTGTCTTCAGATTAAATTGAGTTACTGTATTCAGACATTATCAAGTGAAATTGTTTGCCACCCATTCATAATCCTTTCATGTATTACCTGGGTTTTATTCCTTTGCAAAGGAACATTGTAAAATACAAGAAACATCCACCTATTTCAGATTCATCCATCAAAATTTCCTAGAAGTCTTGATCTCCCACCTATGTTGAAGTGGTTAGAAAAATCTGTTGATACTGATGTAAAGCTAGCGAAATTTTATTTTGCAGTTAAGACAGAAATCCCACACCTTTGGCATGGTTTTACGAGAAGAACTTTTCAAGTTCTGGAACTGTGTGGAATAACACTAAAAGGAGATTGTTATTTAGTGGTGGAAATAATAAATAAGAATCTACTTTCAGTATGGTAAAATTTTTTTTCTAAGAGAAAACATTTTCTGTTATCAGTTGTTGACTTACTGAAAAGGATCTGGAAAGTGTTCCATAAGTATGCTTAGCAGAATCAAGAGTGCTCCTTTGTACAAAGGCTAAAAATAGTAACAGACATTTAAAATGCAATAGGCTTAAAAAAGTTCCAAACAAAAAAGTATGTGACAAGAAGTTTTCAGTGTATCAAATTTTGCTTTTGTTGGTGAAGCTGGAATACATTCTGGCACTTTTACTTGCAAAACAAGTAAAACCTAGGATGTGATTTGTGAGCAGTAGAACCAGTACGTTAGTGCCACCAGCAGAATCCCAGAAAAAATGTACAAGACCTATTATAGATTATGCCTTCCGATTCCTCCAAAATAAGTCACCAGAAAGCTACTGATCTGTGATTTTTTTTTTTTGTCCAAGTCCAAATTCATAATGTTTGATTTAGAGAGATTGCATTAGCTGTGTTGCTAATTAACAGGTATGTAAACTACAGGTTGATGGACTGCTTCCTTAACCCATGCATTTGGAGGTAGGTAGTTAATTCAATACCATTAAACTGCCACCGGAATTATTTTAGAACTGGCTTGGTTAGATAAATAAAAACAATTCTTAAAAAAAGGCTTGTAATTGACATGTAGCCTCTTACTGGTTCAGTTATCCAAATGCGGATCTTGAGCTTATACATAAAACATGAACATAAATAAGGGCATGCTAAGTGTTCTAAAGTGCACAGATACACAGATTCCTGTAATAATATTGGCTGTTAAATGTTTGGTACCTAGGGTTTAAATACTTTAAGAAAACTGAAAGATAAAGAAACAAAGCTGTTTAAGCTAATACAGACAAAAGGAGCACTCCACCATTACAGCAGGATCTCTATTAGCCGCTGAATGGAAGATAGTTATGAGAGATGGAAACACAAGGAAGCAGCAGAAGCCAAGTGAAAAGACTGAGTATTATATGACATAAAATCAGTTTAAAAAGAAGCTCACTGCCCAAGTGTTCAGAACAGCTGCGTTTTCTGAAACTTTGTTTCCTACAACATTGTCTTCTCAAAATACTCATTCTGAAAATGTTTTCTCACTTTGTTTCTTTCATGATGTCAATAGCAAAGGAAGGGGTATTTTACATGCAGGGATTTTATACATAAATATATTTTTATTTGTAATTAAGCCATTCTCAATAAAGGTTTAAAGTCACAGGTAACCCTGTAACGTAATGTAGCAAGTGTGTTTATTAACTAGCTTATGAAAAATGTTGGAAAATCTTTAGAGGACATATTATATACTTAACTGGAAATGGGACAGCTGAAATTGTAATTTGGAAAAGAGTTTCAATACTTATTTCAGCTGTAAATTCATATATAAAGTTGCTAGGCTATAAATGATATTCATTCTGCACTTCCTGAATACCTACTGCATGACTTGAATTATACAAAACAAAATTTTCAATATACACTAGTAGGTGAGAAGAGCAAGTGTATTGTTATTATCTATATTCAACAGCTGTTCAAGTGCAGCTCCAGGGAAGTAGTGTTCAGTACCCATCCTGATCCCAAATAGCAACTCCATGGCTTTACTTTTACTCTGAGAAGTAGGCAACTGCATGAGCCTTGCCTATTCTTTAGCTAGGGTTTCTATAAACAGACACACAATGCAAAGCTTATTTAAAATGACAAAAATTTAATTACACATTTTAGTGTAAATGACAACCCTCAAGAAACAATTTTTCAATTATTTTACTCAATACAGGTTTGAATCTTGTTACTTAAAAGTCGGTTACCGGAAATTAAAATGACAGCATTAAAATAATGACTTGTGATCTACAGTAAAGCTATCATCCAACAGTACCTTTTAATTTGTTATGTAACATTTGACTGCTATGAGATACTCCCTCTTATCCTTTGATTACATTGGGTATGAAATAAGGCTGGACTGCTTCAGTGAGCTTGTCTGCATACATTTCATATCTACCAGTCATCTGGAAAAGAAAAATCAAAGCTTCAGTTCTTTTAGTGATACGAAAGCACTTCAGTACAAAATATTTATATCCACCATTTTTTATGATGATGTATTATTTAATTGCCCCAAACAGTAAAATCATAATTCACTCAAAATGCAAGACCAGTGCCTTAGCATAAACTAATACACTTTTATAAAAGAACACACATGGTGTTGCCTAAAACCATACTTCTACCCAAAAAACAGAAGTGCATTTCCACACTAAAAAGTAAAACTTAATTAAAATTAACAAACACCTTCCTGCTTTGCAACTCTCCTTCATTGACAGTCATGTCTGTTGACTAATTACTTGAGGCTATTCTGGTTATCCTGGATAGCTGAAAGTTAAATGTGAAAGGTGGACTTACTTTCCTCACATCAACAATATTCTCTTTTACGTAAGTTATGTCAGTGAAGGCAAAGGAGCGTATCTGTAATTGTCTTCGTATTATGACCTTGACAACTAATGAACCCTGCTGCCAGCAATGTTTGCATACGAGCCACTGATGGTATTTGGGTTGCTCTTACTTTATCCATTAATAATATATTTTAATTTCTTTGGGTGATACAGTAAGCTAGGAGGCTGCAATATAGCACCTTATGTGGTGCACTCCCCCCTTCTGAAGTGGACAGTCTACAACACTGGCCCTGAGAGGGGCAAACTACTTCCTTCTTGCCAGGGTGTAATGAAGACAATTTCTTTAACTGTTTTGCTGCTGTTAAGTTTATCAAAGACATTCTACTTAATGCCCCTTTCAGGCATCATTGAATGCAAACTGCAGATACCAGAGCAAGTTAAATAGGATCCTACTGGCTATAAAGGGTTTTCTGCGGTGGATAAACAATTACTTCATACTTCCTCATTCCCCTCATATCAAGAACCACCTCTGTCTTGGCCACAAATGAGAGGAAAAGGAAATAGATATTCCCTGTCATATAAACAAAAGCCACAGCTCTGCCTCACGTGCCAAAAGACCAACAGCAGCAATCCACACCATCAACATAAAACTAAAGTGCTGAAAGCACAAGACTTAAAGACAACAAAAAATAAGCAATTCTATATAAAACAGCTAAAGGTCAGTGTTTTGCTTTTACTGTTTGTTTCTCCTAATCAATACAATTGCTTTTGTTCAGATACCCCTACTAAGCTGTTATAAGCGATGCCCCATGTGCTTCCTGCCACGCTAAATCTCTGCTCTGCAAAAAGGGCCTCAGATTTCAGTGGCAAAGCAAAACTAAATGCCTGTCTTGACTTAAAAAAAACGGGAATCTCTCAGCACAATTTAATTCCACTATGTCAACAACCATATACCTACCACACATGTCTGTAAAATAACAATGGCAATTCTGTCCAGAAGACAACCTGAAATCACTTTTTGTCTTCAGTCCCTACATATGGATTGGTAGCATTACCAAAGAAATTCAGCTCTAGCTAAGAAATGACTATGTTTTCATTAAAAAGTTCACTCAGCATTTTAAATCACAGAAAAATTGTATTCTTACATCAAATTGAAATCAAAACACGTTAGATATTGCACTATATTGTAATGCATGAGGTGGTTCCTAATAAAGCAGCTCTATAAAATGTCTGCTTGCAATAATGTGTGCAAAAATCAACATTCCTTGCAAATGATTACTTA